CCACCCCGAGTGGTTAGCCAATCCCGTTCTTGTACGAAAGAAGAGTGGGAAATGGAGAATGTTTGTTGACTACACGGGTCTCAACAAAGCGTGTCCAAAGGATCCGATTCCTTTACCATGCATAGACCAAGTAGTCGACTCAACCTCAGGGTGCGAAACCCTTTGCTTCCTTGATGCGTACTCTGGGTACCATCAAATCGTGACGAAAGGGTCCGACCAGCTTGCGACATCTTTCATCACCCCATTCGGATCGTTCTGCTATGTTACAATGCCATTCGGTCTGCACTACTTAATGCGTTGCTCTACGTCAATGATATTTGTGGATACAAAATTGGTGACCTACACTTCACCGAGTATATAATACGATGTAGTCAAACTTGGCGGTGATCTACTTGCGCTTGCATGAACTTTGGTGTGTAATTGAACATCTAGCTAGTTTGTATTGACTTGGTTTAAATTATTATGATTTGTATGAACTTGATGAATGGGAATGATTATTGTAATATATAAGCTCTTATTTCATTAGGTTCATTCTTATTTATGGACGATGTACAATAGTATAGCATATGACATATAATACGTGTACGAAGACTATTTGAAACGAAAATAAATTGAATGGAAAGAAACTGTAAAAAAATGTGATATTTAGTCCCGGTTGGTTATACCAACTAGGACTGGAGATGCGCGCCCTCGGACTTAGCCTGGAGGCCCCTTTAGTCCCGGTTGGTATAAGTAACCGGGACTAAATGGCCCCCATTCAATCTTGGTTGGGAGGCCTATGACTAAAGGACGGGCCTTTAGTCTCGAATTGGCAGTCCTGGTTGGAAAACCGGGACTAGAGGGGTTTCCCAACCGGGACTACAACCTAGTACTGCACTAGTGTAGGGGCGGCGATGACTCGATGACTTCCACTAGTTGAATCTGGCCGTTTCAGGAGAGGCGGGAAGCATGGATGTCCCAAGGTCATAAATTTTTCTCTCTTTTGGTTGTGTGTTCTCCTCTTTGTTGAGGTATGAGTCTAAGTGCTCTGGTATCTTTTGGCTGTCTACATCGTTCATGGATATAGAAGACGGATTAATGAATCTATTACAGAATTGCTATATTACGACCGACTGTTTTTTATGTTTGTGACAACCGGATTTCTGGCCATTGGATGTGGCATGTGGCGCGTTTGCTCCGTCCGATTTGGATGTGTCTCCGTTAGGGATGAAAACGGATCGGATACGAACGGATATCACTCATATTATATTTGTTTTCATATTTCTGTTCGGATTCGGATTCGGACACGGATAGCGTTCGGATACATATACGAATACGGATTGACTTTTTACGGATACGAATAATAATGAGTATCGAATACGGTATGAATCGGATTCGGAGAAGGTCGGATACAAATATCTATTCGGATATTGAGTAAAAAAGCGGCATATATATATATATATATATATATATATATATATATATATATATATATATATATATATATATATATATATATCATACGTATGCAACCACCATTACACCACTCTATGAGTCCATAATCCATCTAGATTAAGCCGAAAGACTAAAGAGTAAAGCAACAAATAAGATAAAGATACGTATACATCATACATCAAACATCATATAAGCACCAATCTTCATGCATGAGTAGAAATAGCCAAGCACATTGCTTCATGGGTCTCATGGAGTCATGGTCATGGATTCAAGATCTACAATCCTTATATAGGCCATTTTTTTTCATTTTGAGAAAGTTTGAACAAAATGTAGTTCAAATTTCACAAGTGTGTGACATAGTTTTAGAAAGTCCAGTATGAGATTTAAGAATTTGTGACTAGTGTTTGATAAAAATTTCTCAAATGGGAAAATGAGCTATGTAACAATTGTATATCTTGCTGAGATGATCAAACTTGGTATTCAGAGTTTTTTCATCTGAGGTCATTTAGTGTCTCATTTGAGCAAGTTTGACCAAGTCAAATTTGGTCAAATGAAAAAACAACACTTTGACTCTAGTATTATGAACTCTAAATGACTTCAAATTGAAAAGTTTTGAATACCAAGTTTGTTCAACTCATCAAGATCTACAATTCTTGATTTGGTCAACTTTCCATTTGAGATAGTTTGGATGGTTCAAATTTGTGATTTTTAAATTTCGATGCTTACTAACTAGTTTTCGAAACCCTATATTGTCTCAAATTGAAAAGTTTTGAATACCAAGTTTGTTCAGCTCATCAAGATCTACAATCCTCATATAGGCTATTTTTTCATTTGAGAAAGTTTGAACAAAATGTAGTTCAAATTTCACAAGTGCGTGACATAGTTTCGGAAAGTCTATATGAGATTCAAGAATTTGTGACTAGTGTTTGATAAAACTTTCTCAAATGGGAAAATGAGCTATGTAACAATTGTATATCTTGCTGAGATGATCAAATTTGGTATTCAGAGTTTTTTCATCTGAGGTCATTTAGTGTCTTATTTGAGCAAGTTTGACCAAGTCAAATTTGGTCAAATGAAAAAACAACACTTTGACTCTAGTATTATGAACTCTAAATGACTTCAAATTGAAAAGTTTTGAATATCAAGTTTGTTCAACTCATCAAGATCTACAATTTTTGTTTTGGTCAACTTTCCATTTAAGATAGTTTGGACGGTTCAAATTTGTGATTTTTAAATTTCGACGTTTACAAACTAGTTTTCGAAACCCTAGATTGTCTCAAATTGAAAAGTTTTGAATACCAAATTTGTTCATCTCATCAAGATATACAATCCTTATATAGGCAATTTTTTCATTTGAGAAAGTTTGAACAAAATATAGTTCAAATTTCACAAGTGTGTGACATAGTTTCAGAAAGTCTATATGAGATTCAAGAATTTATGACTATTGTTTGATAAAACTTTCTCAAATGGGAAAATGAGCTATGTAACAATTGTAGATCTTGCTGAGATGATCAAACTTGGTATTCAGAGTTTTTTCATCTAAGATCATTTAGTGTCTCATTTGAGCAAGTTTGACCAAGTCAAATTTGGTCAAATGAAAAAACAACACTTTGACTCTAGTATTATGAACTCTAAATGACTTCAAATTGAAAAGTTTTGAATACCAAGTTTGTTCAACTCATCAAGATCTACAATTCTTGTTTTGGTCAACTTTCCATTTGAGATAGTTTGGATGGTTTAAATTTGTGATTTTTAAATTTTGAATAAATATCCGGATAATATCCGTTTTTAAATATCCGGATATATCCGATACGTATCCGGATTATCCGATATCCGCCGGATATCGATGATATTACATCCATATTTAATATCCGCCCAAGATATCCGTTTTTTTAGATCCGTGATCCTAAAAAAAAGCCGATATCCGAAAGAATTATCCGGATAAAGTGTTCATATTTGTTCGGTCGAACGGACGGTCGAATAAATATCCGTACCGTTTTCATCCATAGTCTCCGTCGGTGCGTGGTCCTCCCTCCCCAGCGTGGTCCTGTCACATGTGCGTGGTCCTCCCTGCACTCCCTGTGCGTGTGGTCCTCCCTCACTAGGATCCTCTGCGCCAGGTGCAGCCAAGCAGTGCCTGTGCGGGCGCGTGCACCGAGGCAGACGATCCAGGCGACTAGGGGAGCAGGTCAGGTAGGGGCTACTCAGGTTTGTATATGATATTTGAGATTCGTGAATAATTTAACATATATTTCTGGAATACATAGAAATAATTTATAATTTTTTTAAAAAAAATTATAATATATTTATGTTATTCCTAAATTACATCACTCTGTTCAATAAATTACACTTAAAAGATCATTGTAAATATAGTAACATGACAGTGTAAATATAGTTATATGACGGTGTAATTATATAGAAAAAATCTAATTGTTGAGAGGATTAAAAATAACCGGTTGTTACCTAGACGTCTCCATCCATTACCGAAAAAAAACATGAAATGAACTGAAATTTCCAGAATATAAATCCCAACCTTTGTATATTTTGATAATCCCAGGAATATCAGTTATCGCGTACATTCTCATTTTTAACTGATTCCATATCCATACAAAGCATTACAAATTATTTTATTACATAAATCTAAGTACATTTGGATAATAGCCTAGTACAAACTTCGATATAAGATCCACTGGGATCGATCCAAAAGCTAGGAAACAATATCCCATGAAGCATAGCAAGCCTTCGTTCGGCTGGCTGGCTGGGCTCAGCTTAGCTGGTCAACTTACTCATAGAAATACTGTTCACGTCCAGACAGAACAGTATTTTTCTCTCACAATAATCAGCTAGAACAGTATTTTGACTTATTTTTCAGTCCTGCCGAACAGCCCCAAAGCTTGGTGAGATGCATCCACCAACATCCTTGAGTGTGTTTGTAACTTGAAGAATTGCTTCTCTCCGGCCATGGACGAGGAGTGAGATCGACGGGCGCGGCCCTCCTATGTTAGCTTATCTATGTTGGTTTTGTTAAACTTAATCATGGTACTAGCATATATTTAAACTAAGTGGTGTATATGTTTTTCAAAACTATGTTGCTTCCGAATTTGGACCTCATGTTGTAATAATTAGATTTGAACTTCGATATGAAAGTTCCTAAATGGCTAGAGGGGGAGGTTGAATGGCCTAATAAAAATTCTATAAAAACACTGAGCAATTGGTTAGACAACTAAATCGCGTGTAGTGCTTGGTCTTCTTCCAAGCGTGAATAACTACTTTGTCTACTTCCTGGCGTGAACAACTGATCTTGCTGGATTCTATATATTCAGTACATTTTTCATGTTCTGTATGGCATTCATCATGTTTACTACAGCGAGTAAGCATGATGTCACGATTTTTTTTTGTTAGTTTTCTGGATTAAATCATACCTAAACTTACCAAAATATCAGACAACATCTTCTCACGCCAATCGCTATTATTGTAATGTATCATGGTACAAACAAATGAAAATCTAAGCAATGGTAACTACTACTCGCGAGACTGGATAGATTATTTAACCTTTGTACATTGTTCTAGCTACTGGAAATAAAGTTGTGTCTATGGCAGTGAGATACGTGATGCTCCGTGTCCAGGTCGACGTTGCAGGTGAAGAAGCCGGCAACCCACAATTCAACCTGTAGCTGCGCTACCCCAGATCTGCGATCCTCTGACATGCGATCAAACAGGTCCTCCGGTATCCCCAACCCGTAGCTCGCTGCGTCCACCGCCACCGTCACTGCTTTCTTCGTATCCACGTCGAAGGCAGGTATTCTCCCGCGCGCGAGGGGAATGCCTGCATAGGTGACCAAGAGGTCGCCGCCGTCATACATGACGTCGTAGATGTGGCCGTTGTCGACGTGCACGAGGAGCTTGAAGGCTGGCGACTCCGCTCCTGGATCCAGCGCCGAACGGATGCCCTTGGCTCCAACCAGCTCCACGGAGTACATGGTTGGACGGTCGTCGAAGGGATTGTGCTTCACAATATCCACTACGGAGACGACGATACCATAGATGACTAGCAGGATCAAGAGAAACGAGCACAGAATTTTCAGACCGTCCTTCAGATCCTCCTTCCTAGACATGCTGGTGCCGGCGGTCTGGGACGACTCTTCAGGCATACACGCCATCGCTGGGATCGGGAGCAGAGAAACCGCTGGGGATCGATCGGATTGTGGAGAAGCCAAATTTTGATTGATTGGTATATTGGTATATCGTCGTTTATTTGTTTATATCGACCGCGGCCGCGACCGCGATGGATATATATGGAACAGTACCGATACGGATAGAACCAAACGAATAAGGATAAGGATTCTGCATGGACGATTTGTTTTCCTTTTTTTGTTAAATTATTAGAAGAGTCCTATCCATGCACGATTCGTTTTCTTTTTGTTATAATATTTTTGGTTATATATGGATGGACGACCCCGAAAAGGATCGGGGCAGCACCAACTATATACCAAGTAATATATATAAAGGAGTATTTCTTTTCTTCGATTCGATCAATGGAGCCACAAACCAATCCAGAAGAAACCATGGCGACGATAGCCGATGAGTACTACGTGCCGATACACGACGCATGCGTGGTGAGAGCGAGACGTCGACGACCCTGCAAGAGGGCACTCAAACTCATATGTTGCGCAATTGCGGTGGCGCTCGCAGTCTTCCGCGTCCTGGCGAAGATCGACGACAACAGCGTGGCCAAGTTCTCGGTGGACATCGCCTCCGTCGAGGGCCTGAACGGCACCACGGTCGTCGGCGCCCGCACGGTCTCTCCGGGGTTCAGCCTGACGGCGCGGGTCGAGAACCCGCGCGCCCTCACGGACTGGTGCTCCACGGGCGGCCAGGCCGTGGTCTCGTACGCCGGCGTCAGCCTCGCGTGGGGCCCCGTCCCGGCTTTCTGCGTGCCGAAGAAGGGGGCGGCGGAGCTGACGGTCGCCGCATCGGGGACAGGCGTCGGGCTGTCGGACGACCTGCGCACGCGCTTCGGGGCGGAGTGGAACATGGGCATGGCGCTGGTGGAGGTTGAGATGAAGCTGTTCTACGACGGCAATGGCTGCTCCTGGATTGGTACGTCCGCGTACCAAGGGGTGTCTGTGGTTTGGCGACAGCTTACCCTGCCAGGCCAAGGGGCGCCTCACGCTTTTTGATTCTTGTTTGTCTACTGATCAATTTCCTTGGTTGTATTGACGGAAACATTGATATAGTAATCAGTTTGATTATTAAGCATCAGGTGATTTGTCACGTCGCAAACACTTACGGCAGTGTGATCCATTTTGTATCGGAAAAAATAAACTGGTTCTACTGTTAATCCTGATTAGATTAAGAATTATCCTGATCCTATCGTGAATTCTACAGTAAACTCATAGAATCATTCATGATCTTACCTAGGTAGATTGTACATCGATAATGATATGCCCCAAGCTTCTTACGCTTCCTTCCGAAATACGTGTGTCGTCTGAGCGTCGCCGTCGCCGCCCCCACTTGTCCTATGTGTCATCGTGGCGCCCCACCCCGCCCTCTGCGTGTCGCCACCTCCGCCCCCACCCGTCCTCTGTGTCGTCACGCCCAGGGCCGGTCCTAAGATTTTTTTGACCTAGAACAAAACTAAATTTTTGAATCTTTTTATATAAACATGATAATACTATTAGTACTACTCATTGCTAGTATATATACACACATATACAACATATTACTAATATGCAATTAACTGAATTAAATACGTGCTCATGATCACTCACATTATATAGAGGGGCAGAGGCTGGGGTACCCTCCGGCTTCAATTTGGAAGCTTAATTAGGGGACCAGATTCTAGTCTGGCCGGTGCCGTCCCTCACTTTCCAGCGAGAGCGCCACCCGGGGCTCGAACCCGGGACCTCCGTTTATGGAGTTTGGTCACTTGAGCATCCCGACCGAGCACGTCCATCCATGTCGGTGTCAACATTGTCTTCCATATGATCCTGATCTTCTGGATTAGCATCAGCAACTATCGCCAATGCATCTGGATCTCTTGAAGTACTTGTATTACTCTTAAGAAATTTACGAAGAACCCATCTTTGTGACTGTATCATGTCATCTATTCACCTTTTCTTCTTTCTGTTGTCATTGCAAGAATCATACTTTCTTGATGATCCTATTAAAATTTAGAGAAACAATTATTAACTGTAAATCTGCAATTTAATAAAATAGGGTAACTGCAACTATTAATGAGTACATGATTAGGAAGCCTGATGGCGATGGAATTCGAAGCCGGCTTGCCCAATCGGCAATCGCCCTATGCAGATCGCCATGGAATTGGAGTGCGGTGCGTGCGCGGTCGCGGACGTGCCTGACCGGGCAGCCGGCGGGTGTGCGGGCGGTGACTCGCTGCGACACTGTCTTTCGGCTCGCGCACCGGCGCAGAAGGAAAGAAGTCCAACAGTGTTGCATGATCACCGGTGTCGAAGGAAAGGAACCCGAGAAGTCGCGTGCGTTGTGTTGCGTGATCACCGGCGTCGACGTCGATTAATCTGCTCTGGCGTATCACGTATGTTTGGGTTGAGTACATACTACAGAGTACTAGTACTATTTGGGGAGGGGCCCATCGGCATTCTGGGCCGGGGACGGCTTCCCCTCCCCCCCCCCTCAAGGGTAGGCCCGGTCACGCCGCGCAACCCTGCCCTCTGTGTGCCGTCGCCTAACTCCTTGCAGCTTGTGCAGTGTCGCCCTCTATGCGTCGCCGAGCTTTGCGTTGCTGGCGAGCTCCACGTAGCCGAGATCCGTGTTGCCAGCAACCTCCACGCCACCGACATCCACGTCACCAGCGAGCTCCATGCACTATTGTCGAGCTCTACGTGCCAGTGAGCCTCTGTACGCCCAAGAAGCAGGAGATGTTGCTCTAAAAAGCCTATGTTGTAAGCCTATGTTTCGAATGTTTCAGGTATTTTGAGTGCATGTTGCAGGTGCTTCAGACGCATGTTGCAGGTGTTGTGTTGCAAGGAGATGTTGTTCTGAAAGCCTATGTTTCAATTGTTTCAAGTGTTTTGAGAGCATGTTGCAGGCGCATATTGTAGGTGTTGTGTTTACAAATGTTGCAACAATGGTATTATACATGTTTCAACAGTAATGGCATGTTTCATTAGTACATCACCGATGTTGCAGCAACGATATTGTACATCTTTTAATAGTAATTCGGGCATGTTGTAGGCGCATATTGCAGGTGTTGTGTTTACAGATGTTGCAACAACGATATTATACATGTTTCAACAGTAATATGGGCATGTTTTGTTAGTACATCACCGATGTTGCAGTAACGATACTGTACATTTTTCAGTAGTAATTCGGGCATGTTTCATTAGTACATTGTCGATGTTGCAGCGGTGGGCCCCAAGGGCATCCGTGTGGCAGCCAACATCCTCTGCGCGCCGCTGTCTCCGCCCACCCGTCCTCCACGTCATCGCCGCGCGCCCATCCCGCTCTCTGCGCGCCGCTACTACCCTCCCCCTCTAGTTCTCTGCGTTGTCGTCACGTCCAATCCAGCCCTCTGCACGTCGTCGCCCCAGCTCCGTGCGGCGGTGCCTTATGCACGTTGCAGAGCTCCGCGTCGCCGGCGAGCTCCACTTTGCTGCCGAGATCTGCGCCCAGACGCTCTATCCCAAAATGCGCGTGCTCCTATCCTCTGCGTCGTCGCTGGCCCTAAGGGGAAACAGAGCAGCTGCGGGGCGTCTGAACCCGTGCGTCCGTCCGGACGCCGGACGCTAGTCGTTCCGATTGTACATTTAGCCCACGAGACTATAATTGTGCAATTTTCTATATATGAGAAATACTTAAACTATACTATCTATCTTTATGATAAATCAACTTTTATCTTTTTTTATAGAGTTGGGGACTTGGGTCCTATAATTTTAGGGCCATGATCTTTTGGCAAAAGCCCAAAGCACAGCACGACACGACAAAATTTGGGCCACAGTGTGTCAAGAGTGATGAATAGTGAACAGTAGCGTAAGCCCAGAGCCCAGAGCTAGCTAGGTGAACGAACATGCAGTCAACAGTGCGCGCGGCTTCGACGGCCTGGTCGGTCGGCCGGCACGCAGATCCGGTCCAGCTAGCGGCACCGACCAGGGGCTCGAGCGCTCGCCACGCGCAGCACAGGCTAGTCCCGCGCCCGCGTGCGTGCGGGGAGAGGTGTGGTGGCCGGATCCCCCCCGACCCGTGCGCCGACGCCGACGCCACCGCCGTACCGTACGCGAGCGTCCTTCTCCAGTCCGGTCCCCCGGGGTGCGCGGCGCGCCAGCTAGCGGCCCCCCCGGGCCCGAGCCGTACTTCGTGGCAGCTGGCCGGGCGCGACGGGCAGCCCGCCCGCCCACAGGCCACAGGGACGGGACGGGGCGTTGAACCGCTGCAGGGGATGGGGGATCTGCCGACCGGGGCCCCGGCCGATCCGATGGGCGGAGGCAGCCAGCTAGCTAGGTAGCGCGTGCCGTCGCGTTGCGTCGCACGGGCCAGCGGCCAGTCGCCCAGCCCAACGGCCCCAGCGCTCGCTTGCTGTGGTGTTGTGTGGTGCCTGCCAGTGCCAGTGCCAGCAGTCCCATGCCTCGCTCGCCCCCACGCACCTGAGCCGCCGTACAGGCGTGGACGAGCGCGCACGAACCACTGGGCTTTTCGATTCAATGACCCGGCCCCGGCCGGGGCCACGGCCATCACCATGAAATGAGGGATCCTATTGCAGGGCGGTGCCGCCGGTGGAACCGATCAGTAAGTACCTCGGTCCGCCGGGGTAGCCAGTAGGTCCATGAGTCGTCCTTCGCGGCGACGGGGGCACGACGGCCCAGCCGGCGGCTCGCCCGTGCGTTGGCGTATATATATTTACTCGTCCTGGCCGGCGCCGACAGGTCGGCCGCGCAAAGGCAACGAGGTCTTGGTGCAATGGTACCTTACCACGTTTACATGCACCAACAGTCCAACACAGTAACAAAAACGTGCACAACGCAGTCCGTCCGACACCATGCGCTCACACACGGTATCTGTGTCCGTCCGGCCTTCCGGGCTTGTTGAATCCAGCCGGCCGGGGCGCTAGATAGCTGTGCCGCGTAGTGCAGTGCGTGCGAGGTAACTGCGGCGCGCCAGCTCTGGGAGCTGATGAGAGGTTATAGGAACAGTGGAGCCACTCCCCGTGGACCTACCAACAGGCCGAACCCAAATACGGGACGTATTCCTTCATATAGGTCACGCACAGAGGAAAGCTCTCGCAACCAAAACTTTACGTTTCCAACAACGGACGCAAAAGTCCAACGCAAAAGGCCGAGCGCCGCCCACTCCTCGTCGCGCCAGCTGCTCCTCACCGCGGTCCCGCCTGGCCGCGCCCCACCGCGGGCCCGTCTCGCCGTCGACGACATAAAAAACATTTTTTAGGGGCGGTTGGTAAGCTTTTGTAGGGGTGGTTTTACCAGCCGCCCCTATGAAAGGGTGGCTACAAATCATCGATTTGTAGGGCGGTTCCTCAGACCGTCTTACAAATCGATTTGTAGGGCGGCTAAGATTGTAGCCGTCCTTACAAATCGATTTAGAGGTGTAGCCTTTACTAAAATCAATTTGTAGGGACGATCTGAACACGAGTCACCCTACAAATCGATTTGTAGGGCGACTACAGCACTCAACCGCCCCTACAAATCATTTTTCCGCTAAAAAAATTAAATTTACAATAATATCAGCTTACATCAACAAAGAACATTGATGCAAAGAGTCTTCTTCATGGTACCTTGATGGAACTACTGCATTGCATTCACAAGGAGGGGCACAGCAGATCACCTAACATCAGCACTATCTTATATACAATGCCAACACACAATGTCGAAGGTGGTTGGCTACTCAAGAACAACAGGCAGACACCAAATAAAAAGTATATCCATCGAAAAATGGTGTCTACTGTCACCTCCTCTTGGGAGGTGACTTCTCGATTATCTGCTACGCAAGTCCATATCACCGACAGAAACCTATTTGCTATCGACTCCATATCATCTTCGCTACCACAATCGCTCAGAGTCAACAACTGAAGTGAATCAAATGAACTTTGCTAAGCAGCATGCTTTCCGTGCAACAATAATTCAAGAATAAACTTGAAAAGCTCAAACGGTAGCTCAAATCACCTTGAAATATTTGCTTAGTGCCATCC